CTCTCTCTCTCAAACTCTCTCTAAAACTCTCTCTCTTTCTCTCTCTCTCTCTGTCTCTCTTTTTCACTCCTGTGACAACACTCATCTTTTACAATAATGGAACCTTACTGTGTTGCAAACGCAGTAAAACGCTTTTTTAAATATATTCTATACCCTTCCTTCCCATACTAAACCATACAATACAATCTCTCATCAAACGCGTTACCATGCCTTACTTTATTGCCATACCATCTCTTACCATACTATACTATCCCATCCCTCCCCTTATTCACATAATGCATATAATGCCATCCCTTACCAAACTAAACCATACCATCCATTACCTACATACATCATACCATCCCTTACCATACTATACCATACCACCCATTACCATATTACACCATACCATCCCTTACCATACCTTACCACACCATCCCTCAACTTATTACTTGCATGTACATTATACCATCCCTTACTATAGTATTTATCACACCATCCCTCACTATACTATACCTTATCACCCCTTACTATACTAGACCATACCATCCCTTACCATATTATACCATCCCATTCCTTACCATTCAATACCTTACCATCCCTTACCATACTAAACCATACAATCTCTTACCGTACTATACCATACCATACTATACCATACCATACCATTCCTTACTATGCTATACCTTACCATCCCTTACCATACTATACCATATCATCCCTCCTCAAACGTTGCTTGAATTATTTTTTTTCAATCTTGGATTCAAATCTTGAGCAAACCTATTTAACGCTCTATGAGTCTGCGTGTTCTTAAATCCATATCAAAAGCTACCGCAACGAGTAGTTTTACTTAAATTAAGGGAAACGAACAATCCGTCTTTTTATGAAAACTTGAATGGTTTAATTTTCCAAGCAAAATAAAAACACAAACAGGCAGAAAATGGAGGCATTGTCAATATTAAAAGCAAAACATGTATTACATAAAAAGGGGAGAGAAGCTGGAACCATCCATCATTAGCCCATTCTCATGTGAGCTGAGAGTCAGTTACGTTTGATCAAAACATTGAAACCCAACAGCCATGCACATAAAAATAGTTCATGGATTCTTCTGGATTATTTCATCAGACCATATTACATGAAAAAAGGAAAGTCACGATGGTTTCATGCTTTGTTAGTAATACACACACAAAAGGCTAAAACAAAGTAATAAAAAAAAAGAGGACTGTCAAAGTCAAGAACGTTGTCATACACCCTCCCTTAACATCTGAGTTGGCACTATCTCCGGGCCTTTGACGCCACGTGTGTTTGTGCGTGTGTGTGTGTGTGTGTGTGTGTGTGTGTGTGTGTGTGTGTGTG